CTAGCATCAACCAAGGCATTTTCTGTTCTATCTTCTTAACAAGTTATCCAAATTTTCTCTTTCTTGCCTTTGTTATACCTTCTTTACTCACTCTATCTTTTCTCTTAGACCTGTAAAGTCAGTTTAGACAGTTGTTTGTTGGCAAACTTTTAAATTGTTTCCTTGCAGTTTGTGTATAAGTGATCAGCAGGGAGAGTTTGTTTTAATAGCATATATTTTGGTTAATAATGTTTAATATATTATCTTAGAGACTAGACTGTATAAGTCAGACCAATTTATTTTTATTTATTGATTAACTATATTACTCAAAAAAAAAACCTTTAAGTACAAAATACTATATAATAGTTTATTTTAGATAGTATATAATAATATATATCTTTATCTAACTTGAAATTTTTTGTTAAGTAAAAATTTTATTAACTAAACTATCTACATTATAATTATAATTTGGTTGTTTTTAACTACATTTTCAGAATTTGATTCCACATTATAATTTTGATTTTTTTCAAAAACTTCATAACTTAAGTTAAAATTTTCTTCCAAAATTAAGGTCTTATCCAATAATTCAAATTTTGTTTTATTATCTTCAGCAGAGTCTTCATCTAAATCATTATTATTTGAATTATTATTATCTAATTTCTTAATTTTATTTGCTACAAACAACACATCTTCTAAAGTAAGCTTATAATTAATATAAGAAATCACTTCTTTGGCATATGTTGTATAATACCAATAAATCTTGACCAATGCTTCTACTTTTTTGAATACTAATTGAGCTTTTTTTTTCTATAGATCTATCTTAAGGTTAAAAAGACCCTTTCATAAAAAACAAAATATAGAGTAATATTAAGAAGTTTAGTTGCTAAAATATTAAGATAATTGTAAATATCTTCAATTGTTTTCTACTATGTCTGTAGTGTTTGGCAATTAGATTTAAATGGATCATTAAAAAGTAACTCATTTTCTTTATAAGAAGCAAGTTGTTTTAGAAAATGTCAATAAGAGCTTTTATTGTTATCAAAAACTTTTCATAAAGTACTTGCATATTTTGCAATTTTTTTATAATGATCTTTTTTAAAACTACAACCTGATATAAATATACAAATATTTTTTAGATTTTAAAATAAGATGCTATATTAAGACAACTAGATAACAAAAAATAAAACTAAAATAATATTATAATGCATCACCTTTAGTACTTAGTCTTATATAATTTTTATAATTTTTTTTTGTAAGATACTTAAAAATTATCCAAAAGGTATTAAATAAAGGTACTAAAGGCAGTATATTATAGTAAATATACAATATATATATATTACTTTTAAATTTTGGATGTAAAAAATATGCCAATTAATATATATTATTATTAAACTTTAAAAGTTATCTATTGATTGAAATAATACAATGCCTTTGAAAAGTAGCATGTTGGCCTTGAGGTATTCAATAAATCATAGTTGCTAATTTGATTAAATAGATAAAACAATCTGTGAGTGTTGAATCCTAGCTTTTAAGTTGAATAATAGATTCTTTAATAGGTTATTGAATCATAGTTATAAAGTATAAATCATTATAAAATGAACTTCTATTTAAAATCATATACACTTTGTTATTTGAAATAATATTTGGATTATGTTCTAAAATCTTTTATAAACATATTAATAGTTAGTTTTGCATTATAGTGAAATTATTAAGAAAAAAATTATTATGATAGCAGTAAGTTGTATTATGTATAAATTAAATTAACTTACTTGAACAAATGTCACTTTTAAATGCAATATTGAATAAATTGTATTATAATAACTCAACCAATAAGTTGCTACATATTACTTAATACCTTTTTTTACAATATTAATAATCTGAATTTTATTTTTAAGTGCTGAATTTGCTATGTAAGATGATTTAAAAAATTGAGCAACTAATGTTACTTAAGATAAAATGTGTTTTGAGAAAGATTCTTTCATAATATCTTTACAAATAAGATTTAGCCAATAGGCTATACATGATACATTTATTATATAAAGAAATTGTTGTGCAATTAAGCATTATATTGCTACAACATTTGAACCATTATTACTAACCATTGCACAAATTTTTTCAGTTCCAATTTAAATAATAATTTTTTCAATCTTTTGTGCAAGAAATTCTGCTATATGATGTGCATTTAAATAGTTATGTAAAGCATATAAATGTTCTTTTTTGTTAGATGTTAAAAGTAAAAAATTTTAGATTGATTAGCCTTGTAGATCTGTTTACTTGTCAAGTGCTATAAAAAATTAATTATTATATATCTATATTATAAAAAAAATAAACTTAATAATATTTGAGTAATAGCAAGAGAAAACCTGTAAATCATACTTTTAAAATAATAAAACTATTTTAAAACCAAGTAATTGAATACAAGTAAATATTAAAAAGCATGATTTACAGGTTTTCTCTTACTGTTACTCATTTATATACTAAAAGTAATATAATTTTTACTTTGTAGTTTATTTTCTATTTTCACTTCTATATGAATAATTTGCTTATTAAAAATTCTTCTAGTAAGTGTTAGAACTAGGTACTTTAAAACCTAGTTTAAGATCCTGAAGCTATGCATAAAAATTTCATTTTTAGCAACATTAAATAAGATACTTATACAAGCAAATACAAGGCACATACTATCTTCTAATTGTTTTTGTTTTTTTACAGGTAGTTTTTGATTTTTAATGAATTTAAAAATTTTTTCTTATTTTTTAAATTTACTTTTTACTTTTTATTTAATGTTTGAACTTGGTTATCATTATTTAACTGTTTAAAATAAAAAAGTTGTGCTTCTAATAGGGCCTTAAAACAATTATAAGCAATATGCATTTTAAAGATTGATATATTTGCACATGATCACTGTTGGGAACAGTGTTTGCAACTAGCTGAATAATAACTGCTTTTTTTTTCTATTTGGTTAAAATGATCCCAAATAGGATTAAACAGCTACTTAGTTACTTTTTGTTGTTTATTGCTACTAGGTTTTTCAAAACTAAAAGTTGAAGTAGATTCTTCATTATTAGAAGAAGACATTTTTGAAACAAGAAAAATTATCATTATAATTTATAATCAATATAAATTTTTTATATTGATTATTATTATTATTATTATTATTATCATTATTATTAACGTTATTATTATTATTAAATTAGTAATTAAACTAAAGAATGCTATCTGGATCACCCAATTAGTAAAGCCAAATAATTGTTATATCATAATCTGAATGGCTAGTAATTATTTATGATATAGTAATTTTAATAATTTTCAGTTTTTTGTATTTGAACACCTGTTGACCATCATTTTCAACTTCTAATAATATTATTTAGTATTAAATAAATTATAAGTATTTATAATATGTATTAGATTTTAATAATATTAAAATATCTTAATCTTAATTTGTCATCTTCAACTCAGATTCTTCATAATAATAGTATGTTTTATTAATATTCCTAATGTTTTACATCTATCATTGTTAACCTCTATTCTAGTATATAATTAAAATAGCAAATATAAAATTAAATTATTCTATTAGAACTATTCCTATTAGCAATTTCTAAATAAATACCTTATTGCTTATTCTTTTTTAATTTCTTTACAATAACAGCTCCTAAGATATTTAATATTTATAACATTCTCAAATCTGAACAAACAAATGCAAGATTAAATATTCATAAATGTTTTATGCATATTCTTTTCAACTCTAATTCCTTTATCATAACAAATCTTAATATTGTTTATATCTATAGTGTTCTACACATTGGTAGATTTTTAATAATGTTTGAATATCCTATATTCATCTTTTTTATTTTAATTTTATATTAACATTAATGTCCTATCTGTATTACTTTTTTATTCTCTTCAATTCTGATTTTATATTGATAATAATGACAATATTAAATGCTTTATCTATATCACTTATTTTGTATTTTTTTTTATATTCTAATTCTCTCTGAAACAGTATTTAAGATACCTTTTATAAATCTATTTTCATAATAAACATTATCAGATAGTTTGCTTTACAGCAATAATGCAATATTAGGCAAGACTTTAACTTTTATTATTTTTTTTTTATTACACTATGCTAACTATGCAATTATTTATTTTTTACAACCTAATTAATGTCTTTAGCTACAACTTACAGTTTCTATAATGACAATATTTGTATTTAGTTTATATTACTTTGTAAAGAAAACTTATATTAACTTACTTATCTTTCTATTTTATATTTATATATGACATTTTATTATACTTTACTCTCTTATTCATAGTGCATAATTACAAATATGGTAAAATAAAAAACTCTGCATACATAAATTTTAATGATCTAACTGATTACATGTTTTGTAATCTAACTATTATACATAATATGATTCTGAGTTCTTGACTGCATTTACTAATACAAATAAATACTGCATATATAAAACTTTACTGATCTAACTGATATATCTCTATAACCAACTATATATTTAATACATATTATAAGTTTGTAACTTCAATTTGATTGTATTACTTTTTGGCTACATTGATTTACAACTTTAACTAATAAAAATGCAAAAAAATAATTATACATAGTAGGTTTATTTTACTTGTATATATACTAATATATAGTATATATAAATTCAATAATATATATTTATTATATATAATAATTATAATTATATATAATAATTATTATTACAATTATTACTTTTTGTAATAAATAATTATTGCTTATTACATTTGATTATTTTAATTATAGCACTAATTATTAACTAAATTTCATATTAGTATTATACTGATCAGATAGTACAAGAATAATATTTTTGCAAAATTAGATCAAATACTTGAAAACTTACTATTTTTAATAGCAATAGGATTATCTATAGATACTACAATTCAAGTAAATTTAAATTTTTAAAGTTAAAAAAATTTTTAAGATTCTAATTATAATATAAGTATTCAAAAAATTACTTTTCAAAGAAATAGATTTGAAGTTGCTTTTTTAATAGCTAAAACTGCAATTAATATTACTTTGAAAACTAAAAGTAATAATAAATTAGTTTAAATACTAATGAACTTTATTTTAGCTAAATAAAACATTGGTAATAACAATTCAGAAAAAATAGAAAACAGTAAATCTCAAAATAAAAATAATATTTTACTTTATAATAACATTTAATTAAATAAACAAATAACTTTTATATTATAAAAATTTAAGATATGTTTAGTAAAAAAAAGATTAAAAATATGATAGAAATATCAAAAAAAATGTTTAGCAAAAAAATACAAGCCAAATTAATAATATGCAAAAAAATTGTATTAATAAAACAAAACTTAGGTTAGGATGCAAATGCTTGTTATATAAAAATCTGGCTACTATTAAAAAAAATATTTAAGTACTAAAGAAAATTAATTATATATATATTTTTAAATATATAACAGGTTATTGTGCTAGAGTGTGGCGACCTAGTGAAGTGGATAGGTTGTCAACCCTCAAGTGGCAGATCTAAGGTTCAATTCCCACGGACGACGAATTTTGGAAATTATACCTGTGTTATGGTAACTGTCTCTTGCCGATCGGTTGGGTTTTGG